GGGGGGAGGGAGGGAAATGCACGGGACTATGTTGGTGGCACAGGGGTGATTTGGTGATGGGAAACCCGCGGGGATTACAATCGAGATGGAAAAAAAAAAAGTGCAAAATGATGTAAAAATAAACTTTGTAATAATAAAAAAAAAAGAATATAGGCTGCTTTCTATGGGGGATGGCAGCATTATTAACTGTGGTTCTATCTGCTGCTTGCAAAAGTGTCCTTGTTTATACCATTGCTGTTTAATAAGGCATTTTTCCTTTAGGGTTTTTATTGCAGAGAGAAAACATATACATACCAAACTGTAAATCTTCAATGATGATACCAAAGGATTTGGAAGAATGTTATTTTATAAAGTTGTGTAGAATATCCTTATATGACAAAATATTCTTAGGAGACATTTTGGCTTCCGGGGTAGAAAGACAGAAAGAGACTTTCAAATATCAACTTCAGTTGATGTCAACATAAAACTTTCCTCTGTGTTATCACTAAGGGGATTTTAAGTAGCAAAAACAAGAATCATATGCTTACTATATATAGGGCTAAATGAATCTTTGAAAAAGTTGGTTCACTTAATAAAAGCACTTTAATTATACTGAGTGTTCATTCATGCATTTAGGAAGCATCAACCTCATTTAAGTTGATGTGCAACGGGAAATTTCACAAAATTTCTGTGATGTTTCAGTGCCTCTGAGTAAGGTTCTAATGCTTTTAGGTAGGCCTTAGTTTTCTCATTTTTTTTTTTAATGGAGAAATACAGTTTCATAAAATGAGAAGTATTAAATGATATATTTAAAAGTACTTGGAACATTCTTTAAGATATGTAAGTCTTCTGTTAGTATCAATCTTATCTAATTCAGCACATCTGCTGCTTCTTTATAGCCTTCCCAACCCACACCAACCATTTATATCTACCAGCACACTAAAACAGTCTTTCTAAATTATTAGTTTTTTTCTTGGCTTCAGTGGGATTTGTTGCCTACCCCCTGCCACCATCACTTGGTGGTAAATTGGTGGTAGGTTTATAGTTTCCTATATCGTATTCAGTTATTTATTTGACCTTCTAATTTTGCCTGGCGTTCTTTCGGAGTCCTCAGTGTTTTCCCTCAGAAAAGTAAGGGGTTTGCCATTAACACCACATTTCAAACTGTGTAGTTGGTGGATGTTCAGCATGTTTCCTAGTAAAATTTTATATGCAGTGAATTCTGATTTTAGAGTGACAAGTTACCCAGGATTCATTGCTTCTACTTCATATAGTGGCAGAATCAATTCTATAGTTTTTCTTTTTCATTTCTCTTTCCTGGTCTGTGCCTTCAGTTCACTCTGTTCCTGTTGCTGTTACAGTTCAGACCTCCTGAAGCAGTGGTTACATGTTTATGTGTCTCTTCTGCCTAGTGGGCTGAGTTCCTTAGTCCAGTGACTGCATTTTGTATATTATTCATCTTTGCATCCCTTCATGTGAGAGCACCTGGCATATAGTTGGCACTTAATAAATCCTGAATGAAATTAGACCCTGGGGATTTGTTCTTCTTTAATTTCATGCATTGCTCAATGAGCTAAAATTTGGGGCTCTATTTGTTTACTTGAGGCTCAGTTTGTCATGTAGGCAGTCGCAGTCAGAGTGTATTAGCTGCATCCTTTTCTAATGCTGATTTATTTAATCCATTTTAATTTAATATCTTATTTGAAAAGCTTATTAACATGAGAATTATATAGTCACACTTACTAGTAAAAGTATTAAAAGAAGAGCCCTTTGTCACCATTTAATCTACCCACTTCTGCCCTTAGCCTTCTAGAGAATGCCTTTCTGTGTTTCCTACCTGTTATTTTTCTATTTGCTTCATCAAGATAGCTGGAAATTTAGTCCACTCAATTCCATCATCACTTCTTTAGTGAAACAAGAATGTGAGTGTGCCAGGTTAGGAAAGTGGTTGTAGTACATAGCCTGTGGGAGGAAGGCTCAGACCCTACTGGAAGGGAAATGAGCAGTGGCCCCCAGAGCACAGAGGAGGTGGGGCACCTCACTCAGTCCTGGAGAAGTGTTGAAGCCCCAGTGAGATGGCCAAGGAAAAGGTCAGATTCATGCGATTCTTGATGAGAGACCCAAGTCTTATGGACGAGGGCTCTTTTGTCACACATGAGCAAGAACAAAAGTAAAGGGTTGAAGAACAATGTGGTCTGAATATGGGGTACATAAAACTGATTGGATCTGGGGAGCGTAGGTTGATGATGTCGAACAACCACAGATGAGGGCCCAGGCAGCAACCTTGAAAGTCTTGGATTAGATGCCCGTGTTTTATCTTGTCAGTTAAAGGAAACAGCTTTTATAACAACATTGCCTCTCCTCATGTGGATTTCTGGTCTGGATTCCTGTAGTGTGGTGGTTACAGGAATGTGCCATGGAGTCAGACTGGGTGTGAGCCCTGTTCTTCCACTTAACTGCTGTGAGACTTTGAGAAACTATGCTGTTTCGTTATCACTGACACAGAGATAATAGTGATATCTTCTCTATTAACTTTGTTGCAGAGATAAAATTATATCCTAGGATGCATGGAAAGGCAGCAGGTGCTCAGTGTCACCCATTTGTTAAACAAAATACATTGCCACCCTTAAATATACAATGACATTGTGTTAAGTCTGCTAGAACCAAAGATCAGCTAGAACCAAAAGTAGCTTTGTTTGCTCACTGTTTCTGCCAGCTAAACTGAAGGGATATGGATTTTTCTGAAGGTATCTTTAAATTTTTTAGACGTGAAGATGTAAGGGGTATAGGAAGCAAGACATGAGGCTGGAAACTGCTGGTAATGGTGTTATATCTTTTCACCTGCTGCACAAAAAGAATTGAGAGGCAGTATGAAAGAAAGATGTTTGTTTTCTGAGAGCCTCGAATTATTATTTTAATATAGGATAAAACAACAGATTTGTAGTTTCTGATACTTGGGTTCTGATTATAATCATTATAGGCCTTCATAGCATACTATCACATGCAACAATTTTTGATATGAATTTATTTAATGAATCATTTCAAGGTATCCACCCTGTAAAAATTTAATGTAGTTTTTCTTATCTCTGTTTAGTTGGCAAATATTCCAGAATGTTAGCTTCCTGGGCTTTTAAAGATAGTTGTCATTCTTTTCTGTTTGAATATTCTGGAATCCTTCTAGCATCAATCTTTGATAACTAATTCATTTAACATTTCCCTAAAATTGCATTTTGTTATTATCCAATTACATAGACTAGACTATTAATAATATTTAAAACATTTTTCCCTTTGCTTTTGGAGACTCATTAAAAATCTATGTCACTTAGGCTTATTTTAGAAAATAAATTGTTTAAAAATATTCCATTTTTCATCAGGAGAATATTGGAATGCCATGCAAATCACATTTTGTTTTTGTCGTTGTTAAAACAGAGACACTTGATATAATACAAATTAAAACTGAACAGAGAGGTCCATGATTTATTTCTTAAAATTCAAAATACTACTCTTGAATTCTTGATTTCTCAATTTTCTGTATTTCCTTTCCCTTAAGGATGGGTCGGCTCTGTAATTAGTGAAAGTACATGTCTGTCTTTAGGCAATAGCCTAATCTCTATGGCCATGTGTGCAAAGCGATATAATTACAATTTAGTATTAATTGGATCATGTGACTGTTTTTGTTTTAATTATTTTAAGTCATCTTATCTTTCCATTCCTTAGAGCAGGATAATGGATGAATCCTTGGGTACCATATTTTTATGTCATTTCTGTGGGATGAAAACAAGTGCCTACATTTGGTTAAAAAAAGTCTTTTTTTAAAAATTCTATATACATGTTTGTTTTTTCTTTCAATCATCAATTTAGACCTGAAGAAGTAAATTTTATAGAGAATTGAATGATTGCATTTTGCTTAATCTTTGCAACGAAATTGAATTTTAGATTTCTTTGTCTAAGGAGGTGTCACTTAGCTGGTTGGAAAAAAATGTTGTTAAACATTTTAGATTTGCTTCTTAATAATGAAAGATTTCTATATCTTCTCTTTTAATAATTTGATTTGCTTCTTAATAAATGAAAGATTTAGATTTGCTTCTTAATAAATGAAAGATTTCTATATCTTCTCTTTTAATAATTTGATAAGAATGTTAGTGATGGGTACGGTTTCACTACATACATACATACAAGTAGTAGGCACAATATATGTAGAAAGTGGCATTTATCTATGTTCACATTTTAACTTTCATCTCCTTGTTTTTTTTCAGTTGTTTTTATTTCAGTTGCTGCGAGGGCTGTCTTACATCCACCAGCGTTATATTTTGCACAGAGACCTGAAACCACAGAACCTTCTGATCAGTGACACGGGGGAGTTAAAGCTGGCAGATTTCGGTAGGAAAGCAGTTAATTACCAGTCTATTTTGTCACACTGTAAGAATGCCAGGCAGATGGCGGCATGGTATTTGTTTAGGTGCACCATTTCTATCATTCTAGATCATGGAGCAATTTTTGGGGAAATGAAGGAATCTCTTTTTGAGCAACCAAATGTTTGATGGATTTTTTAAAAACTCAGATTGCTTGTCAGAGTCTTACTCATAAGCATAAATCATATCTCTTATATTTCCAAAGGAAGCCAATACAGTTTTTGAGCATAAAATATAGTCAAAGAAATCTAATTCTTTTTCACATTGTATCATGAGATGTCAAGTAGGGTAGCTTCAACAATTAGCATATATTGTCAGGCCTGAAAAAGGTGGGCTTTAAGCCTCTGCACATTTCCAGAGCATCCAAAATATATTTAATGGTATATGTTGCTATAAGCATTTTGGAAAAGAATAAGTCTATTTTTTAAATCTCTTTTTTTTTATTTTTAAATCTATGGCAATGTTTTATATTTTCTGGAAGTGATTTTTGTTTCAGAAATTCTCAACAGCCTTGCAAAAGTTTACTCCAACTTGAAAGTTGAGGCCCTGACTTGGACCCGTTATGTCATCCCATCTTTAAAAGTTTTCAGTTTGGTTTCTTTAAAACCATTCCTCAGATACTGTTTGCGCACCCAAAGAGAAGGAACTATCTCCCTTGCTGTCTTCCCTCCTGTCAAGGCTGACATTTCTTCATTTCCTTGCTTGCTGTCACACCAGTGAGGTGATTCCCAGAAGTGGGGGCTGATGATAGCACCAGGCTGTGTTGACAGTACCTTGCCTCAATTATACTTGAATACATATTCTGATTAGAAATTTGCCCCATTAAGAATGAAATGGAAATAGTACCCTTGAGACATAAAGATGCCTGAGGTGCAGATATGAGCTTGGCGGAAATATGATTAACTTTTCCCACCCTACCCCCCAGTAAATATAAGCCAGCAGTAAATGGTTTTTATTTCAAGGTTAGTAGAATGTTGAATATCTTTGGAATTTAGGTACTTTAGTTTTTTGTGTGTTTTTTTCCTAAAGTTAAAATAAAAGTTAGCATGAATATTGATTTATTACAATATTTTGTCACTTGTTACCATATAGTTTGGTAAAAATAATGAAGCTCTGTGTGTGTGTGTATGCATGCACACGTTATATTGTCAGATTTTGGCATCAGAATAGGTGGCTAGATGTAGTCTTTCTATTACAGGGTAGAAAATAATGAAGACTTAGGTAGCTTCAGGAGAGAGCTGCAGTTTCTCATGTTCAAGGTTATTGGTTTTACTTTGACCATATTTTGTAGACTAATATGAGTAGAATAAGAATTTATAGTGATTTTCTTCTGATGTGTTATTATAATACAAGGTATATGTTAGAGTAAATTACTGTATTGAACATTTAATTTATTGAATGAGGTTTTCTTGTATATATATAAAATACAATGATGAAGTTGATTTTGTTCATATAACCAATGGTATAGATTCATTGTTAGTGCTTCCTGGGGATTATTTTTTAATTTTATGATGGCATTTTTTATTATAATAGGTAAGTTTATTTTCAAAGTTTCTTAGGGATCTTGAGAACTGACACTTTATAGTACTAGGTTTGGAAATAAATTGACATCTTTAGACAAATAAGAATCTCAGATATTAGAACCCTCAGAACATTTTAAAAGTATAAACAAACCAGAGATAACAAGTGCTCATATTTTTGCTGTTTTTCCTCCCATTGTCTTTCCTCTCCTCTCTCTCTTCTTGATTCTTCTACCTGTTATATCATTAAATAATAAAGAGTACAGTTGTTTGCAAACTGTTTTCACATAAAATTTATCATGAATATGTTACTAAATAATATGAAAAATAATTTGTAGCAGGTTAAAATTTTCCATTAATGGCCTAAAACATGCCTTTTTATACAGTCTCTTTTCAATGTTTTCATTTTAATCATTGTCTATTATGCAAAGTCCTATGTTGAACCTCTTTGTAGAGAATGCTATTATGCAGCATTGAATTTGTAGGCATTTAATTCTTCAGACCTGACTGTTCTGCAGAAAGGTTGTGCCGTGTGCCTTCCTCAGTGTCACGAACTGAATCTTCTTGCCTGGAACACACACTTGGCGTGTGTCCTTTGTACGGAGTGTAATGAGCGAGACTCATTCACCAACTGACAATTTCCCCCAATTAATTGTGCACTATTTTTGTCTTTTAATTTAAGACATACAATTAACTATGATTTACAGCTCTTGAGCATGTGTTTGTGTCTGAGATGAAGGAAATACAGTGGAAGCTGTAGAGAAGCTAGACAGCCAAAATGGGATAGTTCCAGGCAGCAGAATAATTAAAAACACTAGGTCTTAATTCAGAGTTTGATATATGAAGGGCTTCAGAAAGAGTTTATTTGTTCAATCCTCTTCTCTTATGTGAAACATACCATAGTTTTTTTGTTATAAGGACAAATGAAATCTGCATGATTATTGTTCCCATATTGTAAAAGTTTTACTTTTATTTGTAAAATATTTGGGGAGAGGGAGGAAACTGACATTTATTTCATTTGTTCTTTGTGTCAGACCTATGGAAATTCTTGTTTCAGTTTCTTTTCAACCTGGTCAAATATAGTAACTATATTTTAAGGAGACATGTGTTTCTACAGTGTAATAAACTTGTTCATGCTTGATCAGTAGGTAGCTGGTTGCAAAGCTGGAAGTCATGTGACTAACCCACGTCCTTCAATCTCAAGTTGTCTGGGTGTTTGGATATTTTATCTTATAGAGCTGCCTGAAGTTAATGCTTTATATATATATATACACATACACACACACACATGTGTGTGTATGTATATGTATATGTGAGATATGTGTGCATGTGTGTAGTTTTCTACAGATTGCAATGTTGCAAAAAACCATGTCATAATTTAAAGAATATTTTTTTGTTGTTGTTTAACTAATTTAGTAGTAATTTGTGAGTTCAGCCTTAGTTTTTTGGAGATTTTACCTGATGAGCAGGTAAGCCAGACAATAATGCATGTGTAAGTTAAGGGGAATGCACTTCCAAATTCCAGATGGTTTAAGTGCTGTTACTATTTTTGTTTCTTGTAAGAAAAATCATAGTTAAGCACTTTGTTGAGACTTGTTTTCTTTCTGCATTTTGAAAAATTGAACTGCTGGTGATTTAGAATCATCTGTGACTTTCCAGGTTTGTCCTGTGAACATCATAAAGTAATAGAATTTTGGGTAGACTCATTTCTAAAAGCAGGTCATCTTTACATTATCTATGGTAAAATAAGAGTTCAAATCCCTTATCCAGCCTGTGTTTTACCCTATGTTTTCCTCCTTTTCCTTTGACTAGAATATTCTCCCTCCTGTTTCTCATGTTGCCTCTCGCTCATCATACAAATCACAAGTCACCTGTTTTAGACTTTCTTCCCCCCAAATAGAACCTTTCCTGGTGATATCATCCAATTTAACTTTTTCAAGAATACTACTAGCACACTGAAATGATATCTATTGTTCATTTGTTTCTGTTTATTTGTTTCTATTTTTATTTTTGTTGGTTTTTGCTCTGGCCACTTGCCTATAAGCTCAAAGAGAGCAGGGGCTCTTGACAGTCTTATCTGTGCTGTCTTGTGCAACAGTTAGGACCTAGTAGGTGCTCATAGTGCCTGAATGAATAAAAATGATGTATGTCTAACTTGTGTATTAATGTGTAGGCTGAATCCCTTCATTTGCTAATTTTGGCTTGATTAGCTTCAGCAAACTAGAAGTTTACAAATTACTCTCTTCAATTAGCGTTGTCCTGGCTGGGAACAGCAAGAGTGCTGATGGAATTACATGATTTTAGGTGGTGTTAGGGCTTTGTGATTTCACACATAGACCCTGCCCATCTACTTGATAATTACTGTGTTTGTCACCTTAGACTAGAGACGTAAATATGTCTGGGTGGGTGATGGTAAATGTACATAAAAGATGTATAAGATTTGAAGTTCCAACGTAGCAGACCTTGAATGATGGTTTAAAAGTTGTACTGTTCTTGAGAGCTGAGTTGTTTTGCTCACTGAAGTAGGAGACCTGAAAACTGGCTTATGATTTTTAACAAATCATTCATTCCTCCAAGCCTTAGGTTCCTCATCTGAAAATAAGAACATTCCAGGATCCTTTTGTCATTTTTTTTCTGTTATACATTTCTGAAGTTATTGATCTATTTATAATAATCAGTATTCATTGGTGGGTAAAAATGAGTCCATTAACCACTAGCCCTGACTAGACTATACTTTTTAGTTTGTATAAATTCAAATAAATGTGAAGCTACACTTCTTTTTTCTAAAGGAGCCTAAAAGTTCATAAGTTTCTTCTTCTTTTTTAAATAATATAATAGTTTATTTTTACATCATTTTGTGCATTTTTTCATCTAAGTTGTAATCCCCGTGGTCTTCCCATCACCGGATCACCTGGGCGCCATCACCATAGTCCAGTGCATTTCCTTCCCACCACTGTTTTTTATCCCATTCCCCACTCTACCCCCATAAAATGTCTCTGGTATATAGCTGTTCATTATTATTATTATTTTCTTGTCTGGTCCATTGTACTCCTGCTATGAGTGAAACCATCCGGTATTTTTCCTTTTCTTTCTGGCTTATTTCACTAAGCATGATCTTTTCCAGCTCCATCCATGTTACTGCAAGAGGCATTTTTTTTTTTGGTTGTTGAGTAATATTCCATTGTGTATATGTACCACATCTGTTTAATCCACTCATCTACTTTTGGGTATTTGGGTTGTTTCCATGTCTTTCCAATTGTAAATAAAGCAGAAAGCTACCCTTTTATACTATGTATAAGCATCATGTTAACAGAAAGTGACTGAATAATATAAATGCATAAATAAATTTACAAGTGAGTAATGTTCAGTTATATTGTAGTAGTATGAAAATGTAGATGTATTTCCACATAATATTAAACAAAGATTTAAGTGTCAAATTGTGTCTTGT